CTCTCTGTAAATACCTCTATTTCCTTGTAGCCATCCCAGCGTGCTGCCAAGTGGCTGGCCACTGCTGCTGTTTGTGCTGCTGTTACACCTGCAAGGTGCAGCCCCAGTGCCTGCTGCTGCAGACTCACAAGCCGTGCCAGACACGAGATCTGTCAACTCTCATGTGGATTTTTACTCAACTCTTTAAAGGAGTCAGCATATCATTCCCTGGTCATATGCAGCCTCTTGAGCTTCTCTGACAGGCCAACCCAAAGGGAAAAGGTGATGATGACAGTGGTGGCCCTATTCCCTGCAGTGCAGCCCCTCTGCGAGTATGCAGAGAACAGGAGAAAGTGCTTACCGAACAGGCTCTGAGCCCAGACTGACTCCTTTTAGATAGTGGCAGAGGCAGGAAAAAGTGACCTTCACTTCCTGGCAGGGAAGCAGCTTTTCTCTGGAGCAGGGACAAACCCTGCTGCCCCTTTCCTGGGAGCAAGGTGCTTTCTGAGGTGGCTCTGGGCTGTGCTTCTTTCCCTCTGTGTGCTGTGCTGGAATCAGCTTCCCTGTGAAAGGGAACTGAAATGAACATATCTGTATCAGGGCTTTCCATGCCCTCTTGCTGTACTCAAGTAGATTGAGGGAGAATTACCTCTTCCCAAATCCTAGGCATAAGAAAGAGCCTTCTTGGCTTTTTTCTTATTTATTTATTTATTATTAATTAATTATTATTATTTTAATGTAAAGGTGTGTGTGGTGTCTATAGGAACTTACACCTTGAAATATTTATCAGTGGCCTTCCACTGTTCTCATCCTTCACAAGGTGGAGAGGGAAAGAAGGGGCTCTAAGCACTGTGAAAATTTAAATTACCCCTACAGCATAGCCCCAGACATCCTCTGTCTCTGTAAAAGTAAACATGGCTGCGTGAGGATTAGCACTTTCAGGTGTGAGGAGGACCAGGCTGGCCACTCCTTTTATCCTCCCCTTTCATCCTGGAGGATCTGGCTGAGACTGAGTCATGGGCTGCAGCATGCTGGCAAGGCTGCTCATGTTGTAAAGCCCCCCCAGGGCTGCTAAACTGGTGGCTTTAAAACAGTAACTGAGATAGAATAATTAAACCCCCAAACCGTGAAGCTTCTGTGGCAGGAGGAGGTGGGGGAGGAAGGATGCCCGTGCTCAGCTAGCTGATCACTGCAGACATTTGGTGTAAAACACGGGCCCAGCAGCCTCTGGGTCAGGTATTTTTCTGGGGTTCTCCTTCGCACCTAGGAGTGTCCCTCGACCTGCCCTCCCTTCTCACTGACAACCGTTTTTGTCTTTTGTGTTTGAAGTTCAAGGCAATGTCTCTCCTTTGGTTGCTGAGCAGTGCATGTAAGTGCTTTATTGTGCCAGCTCTTAATGCCAGGATGTTTCTTTTTCGGTATCTCACGTAGTTCCTTGCTCCACCTGTTAACCTAGCTAAAACCTGTATTTGTAATTACGATATGCTTCCTTCAGAGGAGGTGTTCTACTGCTTCTGTGCCTTTCAGCCTTTTTCTCCTTTCTTCATACCTCCATTAGAAAAGTGAACTGTTCTCTCTTCAATTGCTCATCTTCCCCTCCTCCACACCTCCTAAGTTTTTTTTTTTTTTCCTTGATTTACTATTGGCACGTCTCCTCACTTCACTGTCTGCTGATTAGCACCCTTGGTACGCTCGCAGTTGCACTAGGTCAAGCCTCACCTTACACAATGGAGTCATTAGGAGTTGCAGCTTCCTCTCATTTTCAACACCATTGCACAGAGGAAAGAACGAAAGGGCCCACTTGTAGGTTTAGGCAGTAATTCTGAGGTAAAACAATTTCCAGAGAAAGGCTTTGTTTCTCAAGTCTAAAATATTTTTGGAGGGCATTCCAGCCTTGCTGAAATATTTGTACTTCAAAGAGAAACAAAAATTTTTAAAATGAACTTATAAATGATTTTTCTTATTTATTTATTTATTTTTAAAAGGGGGGATGGATCATTTTGATGTGTTGAAACAAGACTAATTTTTCAGCCTCAAATGACTTATTTCATGATGTTCTTTTCTTGGGTATACAGATGTTTAGGAAAATTCTTTAATGAAACAAAAAATTGACACTTTTTTTTTTGGTCTTTTGCTTATTAAAGAAATATTTCTGGTTGATAGAATCAGAATCATTTAGGTTGGAAAAGACCTCTAAGATCATCTAGTCCAACCTTTGAACTAGCACTGCCAAGTCTGCCCTTAAACCATGTCACTAAGCACTACGTCTACGTGGTTTTTGAAGATCTCCAGGGAAGGCGACTCAACTACTTCCCTGGGTAACCTGTTCTCATACTTCATAACCCTTGCAGTGAAGAAATTTTTCTTAATACCCAACCTAACCCCCCCTGGTGCAATTTAAGGCCATTTCTTCTTGTTCTATTGCTTGGTGCTTCTGAAGTGCACTTGTCTCAGAACTTTTTTTTGAAGTTCCACAAAAACACAAAATAAGTTCATGCAGTGTTATCCACAATATGCTATTGGAAAACTCATGTGGATTTAGCATTTTTAAAAAGTGGGTAAGAAAATATCTGATTTTTGGCATTTGAAGTCATTCATGCAAGGGCCCTGGTGGATGTGAGAAGCAGGACAGCAAATCAGGAGGCTGACATGGAGGTTCACATTTGAGGTTGGGCATGAAAACCAAGGAAAAATCTGTTCAAAATCTCTGTAAATCCGAGACATCTTAATTGTCTTTTTAGGCTAAAAAGTCTAATGAAGCATGACAGGTTTGTGCTGGAGGGAGTGGGACTAGTCTTAGTGATCGTGGCCAGCAAGTCAGACAGGCAACAGCACTTTCAGCAAGGTCAAAGCAAGGCAGGGTATGCTTCTCCATGCAAAAGATGCACCTGCTTGGCAGCAAATGCACTTAGTGTAAGTACCAAAATAGAAGGAAAAGAGTTTTCAAAATTGTCTTTTTCCTATTGCCAGAGCTGTGTATGTTGCTCTGAAGTAAAATAAGTGTTTCTGATACAAAACATTTACTTTGTGTATCAGTCAAAAAAAAAAAACAAACAAAAAACAAACACACAGTGTTCTGGTTCTTGCATGTTGGTTCAAAACCCTTTTCTGTATTGTTTTCTTCTTCACTGGAGGTTGTGTATATAAGTACAGAATTTTCCCATGTGTTTGCTGCAATGCATGATCCTGGCATATGTTTGAATCAATTAACTTGGAAGAAAAAAAGAAAATTACACCAGAGCCTTTAATAAAGGAAGGTGTAATTAACGACTTCAGATTAATTGAAAATGTTTGCTCTAAAAGTAGCAATTGAGCTCTGTTCTGATTAACTACTTTCTCACATACTTCGTAGCCTTGCAGAAAATGCTGTTCAGCAGAGAGCAGAAGGAAAAAAAAGCCTATCTAATATCTCTGTAGAACCTTTATAAGAGAAACCTGTCATTTTCCCATTCTAAAATATTCTGCAGTACTGTAATTACATTATACAAAAACATTCCTTGATTCTTTCATTTAAAAGGAAAATCAGTCCCTCAAGGGCTGGAGACTCAAAGGGGGAATAGGCCAATATTACAAATTTGATTCTGGATGAACTAGTTGCTATTTTATTTTAAGCAAATGACTTAGGAGAGCTGTCAAAGAAACATGCTTCCCATGATTTCATTTTCCATTTTTTGTGAAAAATTTCAATCCTGTCATGCTGGACATAGAACAGTCAGAACTGAAAGCATTAAAAGACAGTCTTTCAAAAAATATTTCTTTAGAAGTTCTGGACTTAGTTGGACCTTGTTACGTTATTGACCTTTGTTAAGCTAACATTCTTTCAAAGAGTAGGAGATATTTTTTAATTAGTTCAAATGATTAAAAATTGTCTATATTAACATACATTGACCTTTCTTTCTATTTGTATTGCCTTAAGTAATCTTGGGAGAATCAATTTCTAATCCCTTTCCTCCCACACATTTGCTGTTGTGGTCTCTCTGGGTCTGTCTACAATTTACAGCATGTGTGAGCTTAAGGGGTCTTGTTCATGAAGCCATTGATCCTCTGTGGCTGTCAGAGCCTGGTCTTAGGCACAAATTTCAGACCTTTCTCTGGCATCTGAAGACCTGCCTGCAATGTGAATGGTTTGGCCAAGTCTCCACAGCTTGTCTCTGACTGCAGCCCTAGTTCAGGATGCCTTGCCATTAGTATAGTACAGAAAAGCTGAAATGAGACCCACCATCAGAACAAAGCTTTTAAATTCCTGTCATGTTTTTAAAAATCAAATTTTGGGGATTTTTTTTTTTTTTTGTCTTCCTTTTAGCTTGTATTTGTAGCAGAATAAATTTCCAAATATGAAGTCTGCCTTTCAGCCACATCTGTTCAGAAATTTAAATATAATTTCCACAAAGTTTTGTGTTAATAGAAGTCACCATACACAGTAAGGGGAACCAAGGTTTATTTTGTTTGTAGCTGCTAAAAAACTTTTGTCAAATGTGGGGTCAGATTTCAAGAATGTTTTACTGTTAATCTACTCTTCTAATCACTAGACTCTCTTCAAATACAGATTACAAAGGCAGAGTCTAAACTACTGTTCATTTTTACAGAAATCTTGTAAGATAACCTGCAGGTGCATTTATGCTTTGATCCAATATGCACATACTCATGGTAGAGTTTGAAGACATACATTAAAGATAGCTGCCGTGCATAAAAATATTGCTGTGAAAATTGCCTATTGTATTTGTAGTTCTTTAGGCAAACTTTGCCACATTTAGTATAGAATTTGTTTTGTTACCTAACGTGTTAGATGTTGAGATAGATCCAATGTGCAGTAATAGGTCATAATTTTAACATTCATGGCTCAGTGACTTTAGGAAGTCTCTGGAACATAAATATCAGTTCAAGAAAAGCAAACAGCTTCTACTTTTTTGTCTTTTCACAGAACTGCCATAAGGAAGCAAAGCATCATTATTGTTTCTTTCAGTTCTCAGCAAAAAAAAAGGAAGTAAGACTTAATAAAAGCCATTGGCTGTAAGATTTTATGAGAGAGAGAGAGAGAGGCAGAGAAAAAGGAAGAGAACGAGAACCGTGCTGTAGAAAAGCAGGTGTGATTCATGAATAAACTATAGTTTGTAACCCTATGGGATACTGATGAAACAAATAGAATTTTCACAGACATGGATAATACAAGAACACAAGACACTTTTTCACAGGTAAAGACAGAAACTGTTATGGCTTATGTGAAAGTGCTATTTGTTGTGCATAACTGAAGAGGTGGCATACGAGAAACTGAAATGACTTTGTGTTTTATTGGTAGGGAATTTGCAGTAGATTGTTTAATGTAATTCATTAGCACATAATATGAGCGTGGACTGGTTTAATATATCAGAAATTGTTTGCAGAAGGTGGTTACGAAACAACATTTTTCTGTACTCTGCTTTATTCTTAAGAAAGTTGAAATGTGCAAGGTTTTCCTGATACGAAGGGGGAAAAAGAGAAGATCTGTCTTTCTATTGCTGCTAGAGAGGATTTATTAATACTATATATTATCTGCACTAAAAATTTCCATAAGGTAATTGGAGGGGGAAAATAGTGTTTTATATTATAGGCAAATGCAGTTTTTGATAATCATACTGGTATTTGATAAGATTGATATGTCAGAATTGAATATACATCAGCTTGCAACACTACTGCATTTCTCTGAGAGCGCATGACAGATATATAGTCTTTGTAGCATTCTGCTGGTTTCAATACTTGTGTGTTTGGAAGTCTGTTACCTGGAAAATTAAGCCATGGAAAATTGCCCTCTAGGTAGGAAAGCTGATAGCAGCTACTGGTGGAGAGTCCCTGGAGTAAAGAGCAATTAAAAGGAAGGGGTGTGTTTTGTGTAGGTTGGAGGTGTGATGGAGTGATCTAAGTTGGTTCTGGGCAGCTACTAAGAGTGGCTTGGCTTGCAGTTACTATGTGCTTTGAGAAGAATATGATATCTAAGGAGAAGTCTGCTCTGTTGGTGTACTTCCACTTTTACGAGATGTTCACAGGAAGATTTGCTAGGTGAGGCTCTAGGCAAACTCAGGGTGAGAACACAAATGAGTATGAAGCCTCTTTTGGTTTATCAACATCTTTGGTTCATCAAAGAGGAAGAAGGGCGTAGGGCATATTTTGCATTTTGTTCTCTCCATGTAACATCACCGTGCATGGCCTTTCAAGTGTTTTTGAGGGCAGTGTAACAGGTCATCCAAAGACTGAGTCAGCTTGGCAGATATTAATTGCTTCACCTGAGGAGATGACACCTGAAATGTAATAAAGTTACAGGTCCCATCTGGCACTATTCAGTGTAACGATGTGCTGGGATCTATTTGGAGAAGCTGTTGATGACAATGCTGTTGAAAAGGCACACATTCAGACTGGAAGTGTTTTCTCTTTCTTTACTGTCTACAGCCCCTGTGTTTATTGCCCAACACTGACGCACAGGCCTGAGGTGCAGCTTATGAATCATTGCTCTTATTTTGGCAGGTACTGCTGGGGAGGTCAGGGGCAGCACAGATGTGGAAATAACCAAATGCTTGCTACCAGAAAGGGCTTACATGAATGAGAATCAGAAAACAGGAAGCTGTAACCAGATGGTGATATTTTTTCCTTTCTTTCACTCCCCAAGGCCTGCAATAAAGCATGTGCATAAAGCTCAGGTTGTATGTTCACCAAGTGATTTGCAAAGCTAAATTGAGCCTGAGAAAAATGTTTGAAACTTTTTGTGAACTTCTCTTAAAATCTGACTGCATGTCTTTCTGATGCTTTTCATCTAAGTCTTCTGAGGGCTGATGTAAGGTGGAACAGTTGTCAACCCTTTTGCTTTTCTAGCCTGCTTTACTTTAATCAACCACTTTAAAGTACTTTTATCCCTATGGTTTTCCCATACAATTTTTTTGCTGGACTTTTAGTTAAAGGCCACCTCTCTTAGGTGATTCTTTTCTTTTCCTGTTTTTTTCGAAGGTAGCTTAAAGCAGATATTCACTGTGTATATATGTCAAGGGATCAATTCTGTTTAAATAAGGCCAAATGATTCCATATCTTCTGATATATATATATTCATGAACATGTACCCAGCCTCAGGAGGAGCTAGGAGCTCCTGTAGCTTTGGAGATGGGCTATTTTTGTGAGACTACAAGTAAGAAATCCAATTTTCTCCTGACCTACTGGGGCTTCTAAAGACTTCACATATTGTGTGGTCGGTCCAGCTCAGTTATAGATCTGGAGCAATCTGCTCCTTGCAGCTAATGTCAAGTGTTGGTCAGAGCAAAGGACTTTTGAGACAGGTCAGGTTCCTTGGTCCTCTTGTTTTGAACTTAGGTGGTGCATGCTTTGTGGAGGCTGCGTTTATATTTAAAACCAGAATCAACTGTAGACAGAGTTAAACATCAACGTGAAAATACTTTGTGTAGGAATCAGAGCTCACTTTTCCTTGATTCATCTAAAAAATCCTCAAAACTTGGGAATGTCTTTCTTGTGTAAGGTAAGATCAAAAGACCCAGGGAGACTGCACTGAGTTCTCTTACATTTTCTAATCAGTTGGAGATAGCCCATTGAACAAAGAACAGGGGAAACGCCTGTGGGAGAGGGGCTGAAGTGCATCCTCAGGTATGTCTTCCTTATCATCCTTACAGCAGTAGGTGCTGACATCCCTCAGTGAAATTTCTTGCTACAGAGCCATTTGGACCTTTATCTGTCTTGTCTCATTCTCAGTGTGGTACAACCTCCTGAATGTGGCAGCACAATATATGTCGTCAAAGATCTTTTTGAAGGGATTATTTTTTTTTTCCCTGAGTTTAAGAAAACACTTAAAGACACAGTATAAATAGATATACAATGAGCTGGTTCCAGGAAAGTTGACCTTGGAAAATGGAGTCTGCTTTTGTAGGGGAGCCTTAAGAACGTGGTGAAGTTGTGTAAGTTGTGTATATATAGACAAGGACTATATTCTGCTAGATCTGTTGGAGTATAAGGGGAGACTATTGGAGAGGGGGAGGCAAGGAGAAAGAGCCTCTTTTTGCCTAAACACTTTGTTATGATGATTCATTAACAAACCAGAATCCTGGGATGAAGGGGGGGAGGTGGGAGGGGAAGGAGGAGGAGGTTAGGTAAGAAATGAGACATCAGCAGAGAGATACTATTTTTTTTTTTTTTTTTCCCTTAAGTTTCAGACCTTATTTTGAATGGAATATAATAAAGAGTTTATTCATTAAACATTTCAAACAGTGTAGAATTCATGGAGACCTGGTAATTCTCACTTAAACATTCATGAAATCAGTATTGTCTTCTCTGTTTTGCACTTCATACTTGTTGCTTAGCACATGTTAACTAATGTGATCTAATAAACCTTGAGTATAATGAATCGTGTATTGTTCAGCTTTTAATAATTTTAGCAGCCAAATTCTTGCTTGATATGCTTTTACAAGACGCTAGGGCACAAGATCAGATTGTAAGTCTGTGAAGAGAAATATTGCATACTTTTCTCCAAAATAATTAGATGTCACTGCTTAATAGCCTGGTAATCTTTGTTTTATCGCAAGATTAATTGGACCATCATGTTAATAAGCAAATATGATAATCCTTGATAGTTCTTATCACTGTGGATTATTTTAATTGTGACAACGAAAGGCATGGAATGTTATTATTTTAGTAACAAGCTGAAATACTTCTATATGAACTTCCTTTATTCTATTTTAGTCCATTTTGTTGTATAACATTAAAGTTTTACCTTAACACACCAAGAAAATACACAGTAAATTCATGCTTACTAAGTATTGTTTTGAAATGAAGTGTCATTTAATGTATTCAGGACATGTATTACATGCTTCTGTGGTGGCAGGGAACTGAAATCCATGGGAGTTTTATTCCTGTATTCAGTGTGCCTAGCATAAAACTATAATTGAATGAAGGCTTTGGAAAATATTCCCATAGTAGCTACTTCAAAGGCAATCTGCACCTATTTACTTAATTCAGTTGCATCCTCTTAATTCATTTGTACTGACAACAATATTCAGCAAGAAATAAAGCTATCTTATCACATTAAAAAATTACTTAAAAGAAAAGATTCACTTTATTTACATTTTTAATGTAATTTGTGTCTGTAGAGGCCACCAACATTTTGGAGAAAAACAGTGACAGTGGAAGAGGTAAACTTCATTTAATGCTTAATCATGAAGGAAAAAATGAAAATCGAGTGAACCTATATTTTGGTATTGAACATGGAACATGTTCGCCATCCTTCACACAAGCTGGAAACTATTTCATGCTGAGAACTTCCGCATTTTCATTGGTATGCCTTGCTGCAGCCTTGATAAAACCAGTTGAAAAGCTTTCAATAAATGTTTTCCCCTCCTATTCACAGTAATATTCTTTCTTAGTGTACTTTTAGCATAAAATAAATGGGCCAGTTAACTTTTTAATTATTACAATCTATGTGAGAAACAGAAAAGTTTCACTGCTCATTGTATGGTGCAGATGCTGTGGTTTGTCCCTCTACACACTTCACACACATCCAGGAATCTTGTGGTGTGTCAGTGTATGGCAGGAGGCACACGGGCACTTCAAACATGCACCTTTCAGGCACAGAAAACTTATCCTACCTAAATATTCTGCAGTCTCAATTTCTGTTGTGAGTGCTGCTTGTGAAGATATTTTGGTAGCTATTTGAAGAAAAACAGTAGCAATTCAACAAAAATACCATGTTAGGATTGGTTAAGTCAAGGTTGCACCTACTTAATGTGAAGTGAAGCAGCAAAATCACAAAATCCATGAGTTTTAGCAATACAACATGTTTTTAAATAGTCAAAGTTCTTTCTTTTATTTCTTTGTAAGCAACTGGAGTGAGATATAAAAAAGGTGTGAAGGGAAAACTCCTAAAATACTGTTCAAACTGCTGTGAATTTTTATTTGGAGCTTTAGAACTGTAAGGCTGTGTCTTTATACTCCGAGATTGTTGCTTGGAAGCATCCACCTTTGCCTTAGTTGTTAGTACTAAATAAACTGGATTGAAAGTTGGTATCTAGTGTGGGGCAGAAAGCAGAATAGCCATTGATATACTGGTCCTATTTCATCTCAATGAGTGCTGAAGAACCAAAGCACTCTGGGCTTGGCTCTGCACAATCAAGGGCACCCCCTTTCCTGCTTCAGATTGCCCAGGCTGTTAGGATAAGCCTGGCTGAAACAG